GTGTAATAAAAATCAAATGAAATAGTATGATGTTAAAAATAAAAGTACCTTCAATCATCTCAATCCCAAGCAGCAGCTACTATTAAAACACTGGTATTTATCATTTAAGACATTTTCTATGCACATACAAAACTGTATATAAATAATAGACACACAATAGTGTATATAAACAATGTAAAATTTATTTTATTAAACATTCTTTTTTTATTATGCGGAATTTCAAACCTATATACAAAACTAGAGAGAATAATTTAGTAAACCCCTCACGTACCCTCCTCTTACTTCAACAATTATCAACTCATGACCAACCTTATTTTACACTACATTATTCTGAAGTAAATCCCAGATATCTTATTATTTAATATTTAACTATTTCAGTACAAAAAAAAAACCAAACCCACTGCTGTCTAGTCAATTCCAACTCATAGTGACCCTATAGGACAGAGCAGAACTGCCCCCACAGCATTTCCAAGGAGAGGTTGGTGGATTCGAACTGCTGATCTTTTGGTTAGCAGCTGTAGCTCCTAACCACCACACCACTAGGACTCCAACTATGTCTGCAAGTGCCTCTAAAAGACAAGGACTCTATTTTAAACATGGCATAACATCACTATCATACCTAAGAATAAACATGATTCCATAATAGCAAATATTTAGACAGTATTCAAATTTGCTTGATCCTTAAAAAAAGAAGTAAAAAATTTTGGTTTGAATTTGGATCCAAATAGGTCCACATACTGCCTTAAAAATACTTTAAAAATACAAATGGAATAATTAGTCTTCTATTAATTCTTTAAAGAAAATATTGTTGATATATTCCATATCTATATACATACTTTTGATGCATTCTATTTCAAGAAAGACACAATAGTCCACTATATGGATGTCTCATAATTTGAATTGGAATTGACTCGACAGCAATGAGTTTTTATCATAATTTATTTGAGCTGGTCCCTTACACCTACCTACCTACCTACCTACCTACCAGCCAGCCAACCAACCAGCCAGGCAACCAACCCACCCACCCACCCATCCAGTTTCCATGGTGTCAATTCTGACTCATGGTGGCCCCTCTAGAGATTAGTATGTAGGTAGTAGATATGTTTTTTCCCCTTCACTATTATGACTGTTTCAATAATCATCCTTGTACATGAATCTCTACACACTTGTACAAGCATATCTGTAGGATATGTTTATGGAAGTGGATGCTTTTATATTTTGTGCCATTTGACATGGCTTTGTCAAAGTGGTTGCCTGTGTCTATACAACATCAAATCCACAGCTTGACAAAATGAGGAAGGATGATGCTAATTACTTGTACTCATTCTTTTGTTCCATCCTATCCTAATTATAAATGGTGGACAAAAAGGCTGGGCCAAATCCTGGCAAAGCAGACCTTAGAGTTCCCAGAAACACAGTGCAATGCTGGGAGGCTGAAAAAGAATTTAGTTTTAGTGCCCCACACCCCAAGGAGATTATTCTCACTTTTATATTCCTCCATTATTTGAAAATGGCTACTAAATTTCGACATCATCCATACTCCCTCTGAACTTGAGGAGGCTGAGCTCTCTATCTAGGCACCAAGAACTGGCTGTACTGAAAACAGTATGAAAGACTGAAAAGCACATCATCTGATTACCCATGATTATTTTAGAATTCCTTTTAATTAGTGCCAATAACAAGGACTCATTGCCATTGAGTCAATTCCAACTCATGGTAACCTCATGTGTTGCAGAGTAGAACTGGCTCCATAGAGTTTTCAGGGCTGTGACCTTTTGGAAGCAGACTGCCTAGCCTTTCTTCCAAGGCACCTCTGGGTGGGTTTGAACCGCCATATCTTTTGGTTAGTAGTCAAGCACTTAACGGTTTGTACCACCCAGGGACTCCAATAACAAGGACATTAATCACAAACTCTATCATTAGGTTTATCAGTTCATATGCAAATGCCGAAAACTGAAACAAACACATCACTAAGTACTTATGATGGTTTATTCTGACATATGAGATTTAAGAATTCCAGCTCTTTCTGGGAGAATTCCAAGTGCTACTTGGTCAGGGTTAGAGTCTAGACAAGTTAGGTTCTAGGGCTCACCCCTACTCTAGGACCTGGAAGACCAGGAAACGTAGTTCTGACTCCCCATTTGGGCTTTAGTCTCCTGATTTAGAATATATGAAGGCCTTACCAAAACCTTTTGAGTATGACAAATTGTGGTGGCTTGCCCAAATAATAGACAACATAAATCAGCCCATCAGGTTTCATACACTGGAGCTATCACAGACTTTTAAATAACTATGTTTACTTTGTTCAAGGAGATAAAAGACAGGATTAAGAATTTTGATGGAGTACAAAAAAACTATATACATAAAAAACTGAATGAAAATTCTAAAACCAAAAAATACAATAACCAAAATTAACAACTCAACAGACAGATTTAACAGCATAGTATCCCACTATGTGGCTGAAGCATAATTTAATTTAGATAGGAGTTATCTCTTGGAAGGGAGAGGAGTGGGGTAAGGGAGGGCTACTAAGGGGGCTTTTACTATATTACATTTCATTTCTTAAATATAAAGATCTGAAACAAACATGGAAAACTCTCGACATTTGTTAAATCTGGTAGATAGTATTAGAGTATTTATTCAATTATCTGTGCTTTCCCATATGTTTGAAATATTTCATAGTAAAATTAAAAAAAAAGAAATAGGAACATATTTTTCTCTAAAACAATGAAAAAAGAGGCAAGAATTGATGATGATAACGATTGGTTTATTGTGAGGAGAGAATAGTTAAAGGCAGTCATATTTGATGACTTTGATATTTTTCAGTGACTCAGAAGATAGGCTGTTTGCAGAGAGTCAGTTTAATTGTTTAAGAGCTGGAAGAAAAAGAAATGAGAAAAGGAACTTAAAAAACCCATTGCCATTGAGCTGATTCTGACTCATAGTGACCCTATAGGACAGAGTAAAACTGCTCCATAGGGTTTCCAAGGAGCAGCTGGTGGATTAGAACTGATGACCTTTTGGTTAGCAGCAAAATGCTTAACCACTGCACTACCAGGGCCCCACAATATATCTCAGTAAATGAACTTCAATTAAATGGTCCAGTAAATGGACCACAACCCAGCACTGGGAGCCTCACTGAGGCTGGAGTAAATACACAGAAAATATGCCTGAAATATAGAGCTAGACTCTAGAATCTGGAGCTTTATTTGTACCATGGACTTGCTCTGCTGATTTCTTCTGCATGGTGGGCTTGACCCTTTGTTCCCGTGAGGTGTGGGATAAAAGGGTTTTGATTTAATTAGACTCAACAAACGTGAAGGTAGATAAACGTGATCCAACTACCGGCTATGATGTAGCCAAAAATAACTCGTAATTAAATTCTGAACTGATGGTTTCTTAAAGGGAACTTTAAGTTCAGATAACTAGAAAAGTGTCTGTTCAGTATCTGTAACTATCGCTCAGGCAGGAAAGGATGCTCTTTTTGTCAAAGATAAATGGGAATGGAGTCCTCTCCTTAGATATGTTAGAATTTAAATTTACAGTGCTGTTTATCAGTTTGTAGTATTTTTGAATACTTAAAGAAAACAGAGAAAGCATGAAGGAACAACCGTAATCTCATTTTAGAATCTTAGCTATGGCCTAGGTGTCTTAATATCATGGCAAAAACTAACCAGGCTGTAAATGTTTATGGAAGCAGACTGCCACATCTTTCTGCCACAGAGCAGCTGGTGGGTTTGAACCACTAACCTTTCAGTTAGCAGCCGAATGCTTTAACCACTGCACACCAGGGCTCCTTCACTGTAGAGAAGGGGTTGGCAAATCCAGCCCTTTGCCTGTTTTTGTAAATCATGTTTTCTTGGAATACAGCTGTACCTGTTCATTTCTGAACTGTCTGTGGCTGCTTTCAAGCTACAACAGCAGAGTTAAGAGGCAGAGTCTGCACTTGAATCCATGCCTTTTGACTGATGTCAAAGGATCTTTCTTATACCCCCCAGATGCCTACTTTTTTTACCCCGGCCAATAGTTCTGGTAAGAAATGTTATAGGATTGACCAACCAAAGCAACATTTTAGAAGCAGTACTTAGGGAACTAATCACAAGAGCACTCCCAACTCCTTCCAGTAACTAGACTTATCCCAATGAAACTCCTCACACTACAAACTAGATTAACATCTCTTGTTAACAATTAACAAACATGTTTCTTTTTACAACCCAAATGTCAATTAGAGGATTACAAAAGGATTATAAGTGCTCAACATCATTAGTCATTAGGTAAATGCAAATCAAAACCGCAATAAGATATCACTTCACACCTAGGAGGATAGCTATAATCAAAAGGATAGTAACAACAAGTGTTGGTCAGGTTGGAACTCACATACATTGCTAGTGGGAATATAATACAGGGCAGTTGCTTTGGAAAATGGCTTCGCAGTTCCTCAAAATGTTAAACATGGAGTTACTAATATGACCTAGTAATTCCACTCCTGGGTATATACCTAAGAGAACTGAAAATATATGTCCACACAAAAACCTGTAAAAAAATGTTCATAGCAGCATTATTCACAATAGCCAAAAAGTAGAAACAACCCAAATGTCCATCAACCAGTGAATGGATAAACAAACATGGTATAGCCACACAATGGAATACTATTTGGCAATAAAAAGGCATGAAGTACTGATACATGCTACAACGAGGATGAACCCCAAAAACATTATTTTAAGTGAAAGAGGCAAGACACAAAAGACCACATATTGTATGATTCCATTTATATGAAAGGTCCAGAAAAGTCAAACCTATAGAAACAGAAATTGGATGAGTGGTTGCCAGGGGCTGGGGGAGGACGGAGAGTGACTTCAGATGGGCATGAGGTGTATTTTTGGGGTTATGGAAATGTACTGAAATTAGATTGTGCTGATGGTTGCACGATTCTGTAAATATACTACAAGTCACTCACTGCCTTGTACACTTAAAATGGGTAAATTCTATGATATGTAAATTATACCTCAATAAAGCTGTTAAAAAGAATTAAAAGGGCTTCATAGCCAGCCAAATATCCAGAATTACAGGCCCTTCACCTTCTCATTTTTAAAGTAATTAATGACATCATATGTAACTTTTCATGAACAAAGACAAAACAAGGGAAATTTAAACTTAACTGAAAAGAAATATAAATTGGATTGCATGTTGCAGCTGACTGGAAGTTCTAAATGGAACTGGTTATAACCATACAGTCTTTATGACCCTCAGGTGACGGGGACGGAGAATTTTGGCAGTCTGGGAGAAGCCAAAGCCTATCACCAGGGAACACTGTGCACCTAAAAGACCTTGTACAGTGCAGCATTAGGAAAACCACAGTCCAAGTCTTCGTTCTTCAGCTTGCAGTCATGTCATCACCATATGCTGTACACCAGAGTATTTATGACCTGAATCACACATGGAGCCAGTCTTATCGCCAGCAACCATGCTGTCTGCATCAACATAAGATAAAACTGTGCTAATGACAGGAGTGTATGGTTTAAATGCAGGTCTCCATGTACTGGATAAAGTTACCCTTAGGCAAACGAAGCTTCATGTCATTCTCTGTTATTGTGGTGCTTACTTTACGGTGCAGCAAAGGTAGGCATCAATCTCATCTTTGCATCTGATCCTAGGCTAGATGGTTAATACTTAAGGTACCTTCCCAACTAAATGAAGGATAATGATCTTAGAGTTTATGGAAGTGGCAGTGTACTTATCAATCGGTTTAAAACTGGAATGAAACACCATGTCTGTTATTTTAGTCCCATTCTGCTCCCACTGAGTAAGGTTATTGGGGAAGATCATTGTTGGTATAATAATTTGTTAGATAGAACAATTATAATTCAAATAAGGGACTTGTCACTGGAAGGGTTTCAATTCTGCCCATCGGGTGAAGAGGTTTCTCTGGCTGTGTGCTTATACACCAGGAAGGATTTCCTAGGCTCTGGGAGTTGCCCTTAATGCCATGTTTTACTGTGAAGAGAACTGTTTTATCTTTAATAGTATCACTGGAGCGGGGAGTATGATCCAGAGAACTGTATTTCCCAATACTGAAGCAGGAAAAGAACTGGGAAGAAATGGTTTGTTCCGATCAATTGTTTGAAAATCACAGCACCAGAAATATTAAAATCTTCACTAAAAAAATTATATGAAAATTGAGAGTTAACTGCCCTTAGTGGTTTGTTTTAGACATTGTAAAAACTTGCACCCGATTGCAACAACATGATTGTCCTCGGGAAATGGCAGATCACACATGGTGTACACGTACATATGTGTATGTACTTCTTACCTAAATGGTTATACACACACATTTCCTGGAAAGCCTAGCAACCCCTTAAATTGGGAGATGGCAAACGTGGCTCTCTTTCTAAAGGCCGAGGAAGGAATGAGCCATACATTTTAGATGGATCAACTTTGCAGCAAAATAATTTCAGAAAGCAAAGACTACACTGAAATAACAGTAGCTTCACATACATAGTGTTAAGGAAGTGTGCTGGAGATGGAAGGTAAAAACCTCCAATTTCTCTAATTACCTTAAAAATGTGTGCTTTGAGGATGTGATGTCCCAGTTCAACAGTCTGCTGTCGGTTTAGTTTTCCATCTTGGCGAGAAAACCAGAAGGCAAGTAACGTGTGCCCACTCCTGCAAATAAAGAGATAGGAGATTCATTTTAGAAATTTCAATGCCACCAATTCTGCTTTGGGTGGGAGGACTGTTTAGGTCAGTCATACCTCCAGCAAGTCTGTCTCATTTAACCAGTTTCTTGGGGAAGGACACCTGCTACTGGGCAAATAACAGATATTACAGTATTCTTAGCTTTTACCAGTCCTTTACCCAAATCACATGTGTGAATATCACTAAATGCCACTTCAAGTTAGCTTATAACCATCCCACACACAGATGACATTAAAAGATTTTCATTTTTAGTCTCTGTCAGTTCCTCTTATTTCACTCATGCTTTAAGTATCAGTGTTCCCCAAGGTCTCATTCTCGGTCCTATTCTGTCCCTTCTCTGGTTCCTCACAGTCTCCACCATTACCTATATCCTGACAACTCCTAAGTCTTTTTCTCCATCTAGACTTCTCTCCTCAGCCTCAGACCACTATATGCAACTGTCTATTGGATTTCTTTGCCTAGGGGTCCCATAATACCTCAAATTCAACATGTCCCAAAGTGGATTAACCATTTCTTCCCCAAGTGAAATCTTCTCTGATCAGCACCTACCAGGCCCCTACCCTTTTGTCCCCACCCTAGGAGAGATGAGTACTTTCTCTTCGGTGCCACAATTATAGGCTATATACACCCTAGTAGAGCATTTACCACACTATCACATACTGTCTCCTCCACTAGACTGTTAAGCTTCTTGATGGCATCTATTCCCCTCTATCTTCTTGCTAACCGATTCCCAATCTGTTCATGAAAGAGAAAGTCCTTTTTTCTGCCTCTAAATGTTGTCTTATCTGACTACAATGCCCAGAAGGCCCAGAATTACTGCAGCCCTCTTGGAATCATGTGGTCAGCTGGCCTGAGGACAAAGCCAACAGGAGGGCTAAACCAAGAGAACAACAGAAAAGTAGAGCCTGAGCCCTGACTGTGTAGTATCTGAAGCTGCCCTAACTTTGGACTTCTTGTTATATGAACTAATACATGTCTTTACTGTTTAATCCATTTGAGTTAGTTTTCTGTTTTTTCTAGCACAAAGCATCCTAATGATAAACTCCTTTAATTGTGAATGTAGATATGTGTGTATATGTGTGTGTATGTATGTATACATATGTGTGATATGTGTGTATAAATAAGGGTGCCTGTACATTTCTATTTACATTTACGACAGAAATCCTGAATTATTTATAGTCCCTATAGTGCCTAAAACAGTGTATTGCATATAAAAATGCTCAATAAAATTTTCTGGAAGTGAGAAAAGAAAGGACACTGGATTGCCTTTGGGATGTGTCTTCTTACCACATTTCCTATGGCCTCTAAGAACTGTGGATGCTTAGAACTGTCTACTACCCACTAGGTGAGTGGCCAGCAGAGTTCTTTATGCCACTAGTAACACAACTCTTCTACTCCTTCACTTGTAGTATCATAGAAGAAAGAAGCAAAACCATTATTTCACTTTCAAGACTAATGAAGTAATCAAACAGAAGGAAAAAGTAGCAAATGAATTTTTGTTGGTGACACTTCCCTAAAAGGAGAGACAGTCTACTGGACAATTTTCTCTCATGTTAAACACTAGTTACTCTGACAGGTTCAACACTGAAGAGACCTCATGCTGAAGTATGAAAAAAAAAAAAATTCTTTATCTCTTCTTTGACTTTTGTTTCTAAGCTTCAGTAAAGAATCTTGGAGAACAGAGTACAGGATAGATCCCATCTTACATAAGAATCATCTCAGAGAGATGTCATTCCAGTAAGATTTAAAAAATAAATTCTATCATTTCCTATCCTTTGGCTTCATAGAATTTCTGAATTTTGGTGGATACTAGGTCACCTTGTTTGAATGGATAAGATAAATCATAATGGGAAGAAACTTATTTAATTGGAGAATGTTTCAGACAAATGTAGCCTGCATAGAATCATCAGTATTACATAAAGGTCTGAGCTCAGGCTGTTTAATCCTCACAAAATCTGAAAATTGCTACTAAACTTTTATTTATCCCTTGAAAGCTCAATTTTGTTGGTAAGCTATTTTAACAAAACATAGGCAAGTTACAAGGTAATGAAAAGCATTTATAAAGTGCCCTATTCTCAAGGTCTCAAAATCCTATCCAGTTATTAACACTGAAATTATTGCAGCTTCCCTGGTGTAAGAATTATTACTTCTAGTGACTTATCCATGGCTGTACAGTAGCAACTAGAACGCTTGAACACAGGCCTCTGATCCACTACCCATGCTTTAGGACATTAATGAGAGTCCATACCTATTAGGATTAAGGTCAAAAGTTCATGTCTCACAAGGAAATTAATTTTTAGTTAGACACAGAATTGCCTTTGCCCTAGTTCTTTCATTTTACTACCATGACCAAGAAATCTGGGTAAGATGTTTGCACTTCTCTACTATGCATTTTCAGCTAGCTATAGATGATGTGACTGCTTTTGTTGTTGTTGATCAGGCACACAGGAGAAAAAGAAAGCAATATAGGTCAAGTACATGATAAAGGTGACAAGTGTAATTCACTTTTCTTCTTGGATAAAAGCATATTGCATTATTCATAAAGAATGGTTCTGATCAGTTCAGTAGACTCTGAAAGCTTACTGTGTTTGGGACAACAAGGGTAATAGTAATTTCCATTATATGCTGGTATTTCCATTTGCACCCTACTGATCTGATAAAATATGGTGCCAGTGGGTAACCTGTAGTCTGAATTGTTCGACTATACTTGTCTATATTTGTTTCTATTTCCCTTACCATTTGCTCACTCCTGAACCTTATTCATTTGGACTCTTATCCTCATCATTCTTTACGATCTCCAGTGGCCTCTTAATTGACAAATAAAGTGATTTTCTTTTGGCTTTTGATCTTTTTTCTTTCTTTTAGTTTTTTTTTTTTTTTCCCTTCAGCATCCCAATAATCTACACTGCAAAAGCCTGATCAAAATTCTGCTCAGAATTCTCCAGTGGCTTTATAAACTTCTTAGCATGGTATTCAAAGACTCTCCATAATTTGTTCCTTGCCTATTTGTCTGCCTTTACCTCCTGTCTTAGTTATCTAGCGCTGCTACAACAAATACCACAGGTGGATGGCTTTAACAAAGAGAAACTTATTTCCTCACAGTAGGCTAAAAGTCCAAATTCAGGGCATCAGCTCCAGGGAAAGGCTTTTTCTCTCTGTCGGCCTTCTTCTCTTCGGTGTTCCCCCGGCCTAGGAGCTTCTCTGTGCAGGGACCCCGGTCCAAAGGACGCACTCTGCTGCCGGCACTGCTTTCTTGATGGTATGAGGTCCCCAGTTCTCTGCTTGCTTCCCTTCCCTTTTATCTCTTAAAGAGATAAAAGGTGGTGCAGGCCACACACCCCAGGGAAACTCCCTTTACACTGGATCAGGGATGTGACCCGAGTAAGGGTGGTGTTACAATTCCACTCTAATCCTCTTTAACATAAAATTACAATCACAAAATGGAAGCCAACCACACAATTCTGGGAATCATGGCCTAGCCAAATTGTTACACACATTTTTTGGGGGACACAGTTCAATCCATGACACCTCCTTACCTTGTACTTCCTATTTCAGACAGAGTGAAGTGTAGGGTTTCAAATATGCTTTCCCTCTGCCTGGAATTCTCTTTCCCTCTTAATTAATCAGGTACACTATTTCTCATTCTTCAAGTTTCAGTTCATACCATCTCCTCTGCTGAGGCTTCCTAGTCCCCCTAGATAGACTCAGGGATTCTTTTCCTTAGGTTCCTACTGTACCGGGTACATGCCTCCACACCTAACACAGGACAATCTAATTGTCTGTTTGCATGTCAGTCTACCCACCAGATTGTAAATTCATTGAGGACAGAAGCCATGTTTTTTAACACATGTACTCCTAGACAACAGAAGTACATATTTGTAGAGTGAATAATAATACCTTACACTTGTATACTACCTTATAGTTTTCAAAATACCTTAATGTTTCTTTAAATTTTCACAAAAACCCTAGACTATATGCATGGCAGTAAATATTATTCCTAATCTTATAGTGGAGAATTGAATGAGACTCAGAAAGGCTAATGGACAGATCCAAGCTCATATTGTTAGGAAGCAAAAGAGGTGGGATGAGAACCTAGGTCTTCTGAAACCTAGTTCTACTAAAACCTAGTTCCACTACCACCCTGAAAAGATTAGCAACTTAGTTTCCATTTCTGAGCACAAGTGTGAAAAAGTCCACCAACGTAAAGAACAATGTATTAATTTGTATAGCACAAACTCTGAATTCTTAACATAATTAAAATCAGCAACTGTTAATTTTGACATTTTTGATTGGCATTTTGGGGGACAGCAGGTAAGAAATAAAGGAGAGAGAGCCCTAGTCAGCGTGAGACGATTATAGGCATGACTGAATACAAGTATGTTTTCCCTCTATAATTAAAGATGATGGTAACCGAAATCAACTTTAATGTGGGTTCAGACGTGATTATAAAGACCATGGGGTGGGATAGGTGGGAACAGAAGAATGATCTCCATATAGCTTATATAATGAGATAGCTTATATAATGAGATAAGTTTGTGGTTCAAAGTTACCCTGCAGATTTTCCTGTCTGCATTCACAGTGCTCCCTCTTTATCTCTAAAATAAAGTCAAACAGACCTATGTTCAAATGCTCGTTCTGCCACTTACAGGCTTTATAACCTTGGACAAGCTATTTAACTTCTTCATAAGGTAAGGATAGTAATACTTATCACACAGGACTGTGGTGAGAATTAAGTGGGACATTCTAAGTGAAATGTATTTTATATTTCTTTTATTTCCTCTACAGTACCACACTAAAGGAATTAACGCTAACCATAAATGACTTTAAACATACAGGAAGATCACTGTATGCTCAAACAGGATGGGGTAAAATGACATACCCTACCCCTAACTCCGATCCTTAACCCTCCACACCCTACCCTGCTATCTTTGCAACCAGAAGGGAAATCCAGAGATCAAGGAGAAATT